AACAATTACTAATGAATGATGGGGCATCGCGCCCTTCTATCGATTACAGAATACACAAACAATTACTAATGAATGATGGGGCATCGCGCCTTTCTATCGATTACAGAATACACAAACAATTACTAATGAATGATTGGGCATCGCGCCCTTCCATCGATTACAGAACACAAACAACTACTAATGAATGATGGGGCATCGCGCCCTTCTATCGATTACAGAACACACAAACAATTACTAACGAATGATGGGGCATCGCGCCTTTCCATCAATTATAACTGTAAAACACAGAAACATTCTTTAAAACATGGGGCAAGATGGGGCATCGCGCCCTTTCATCTATTACGGGAAAACACACAAACACACTAAAAAAAAACCGCTAAAGCGTCAGTTATCAAGATGGAGCATCGCGCCCTTTCATACTGAAACATACTTATAACGCTACAGCGTCAGGTGAGATTGGCCAGCGTTCTTACTGACAGAAAAAATATCAGACTCAAGTATATTTGCAGCAATTCTTGACTTTCAGTTTTACTATCAGGGATGTCTATTCATCCAAAAAGAGTCCACGAACCGCCTCGCTATCGGCATTTGAAGAACAAGCAGACAAAACTGTGAAATTCAATTCATGTATAATTTTAGTAAAAAAAATCTGAAGGTCTAGCTATCTTGCCTAATTCAGACGAAAACAGTCATTTTATTTGGAAAATGGATTTAGTAAAAAACGAGCACAACCGAATTAAAGTGATAGGACCGTCTTCAAAGAGAAGAGTGCATGTAAGATTTGCGCGCTTAGGGTTTTTTGTTTCATTCTTTTAAAGACAAATTAAAAAATAGTAGCAAATATCAGTAGATGTGATAAAAAGGAGAGACTTTAGATATCAAAATAAGAAAGTAATTATTGATATAAAATGTAATATTTTGTTGACGTTGTGATCAGTGAGGCCTGCAGGTGAAAACTAACAGACTGCAGCTGTAAACAGAATAAGTAAAATAGAACTATAAGACCTTGACAACAAACACAGAAATCGTTATCTTATTGTTGTATAAGTTTATGTCATGCAATGACAAGCTGGACCTGTTTTTCACTAGTGAATCAAGAAAGGGAACGTAAGCACTCCATCAATAGGCAATGTGCAGTGACGCCATTTTGTGCAGCAAAGCATGATGGTAGCTGTAGCTCTCGTCCTTTTTCTTGTCCGCTAAAACAATGCTTCTGAATTTTTTTGCTTTTCCAAATTGAAAATATATGTTTTTTGTCTTTTCTATAAAGAAAGGTACCTATAAAGATATTTAAAGGAGATAATAAGTGTGAAGTCTTCAACTACCATCATGTTTTGCTGCACAAMATGGTGTGGCTGCACTTTGCCTATAGAAAAGAAAGCTGTTACCATATTATCAAATTATTTAAAATGTACTGAATACTTACGCATCATCGTCTTCAAAGATGACTTTTCTCTTCTTCTGAAACGAAACCATAACATTTTCAAGAAGATGTTTCAGATGTCCCAGAAAAAAGCTTTTGCATCAAATCAAGGTAGAGATTGAGCTTGCTGGAGATTTTGCTTTCACGTCTAGCATAATTACTCAGACTGCAGCATTACATGGTTAACAACTGTCTCGCTTTTAGTTACAGATGGCGCGCACAGGAAATTACTAAAAAATGGAGCGTTATCATCGCCACAGTCAGGGAATACGTTGTAAATCAAGCAGGTGAGCTCTTGCTTTAAAGCGAGATAGAGGATGACCTTGCTGTAATATGCGCGACCAGGACAATTACTGACAGGTATCTACCTTGCGCAGAGGTTAAMAACTGTCTYGTTTTGATACAAAGATGTCACTGGAAACCACTATAAAATGGAGTATTGATATTTATTGCAATAATTTATACTTGTGTATGCTTACTTTCAGTGCTGAGCTTTCGGCTGCTTTACAATTGACTTTGCTCTTGGCATTGTTTTCTTGCATGATGTTTTTCTCCAATTCGCTATAGATTAACACAATATGTTTTAGAATACTATAAAACGAGGTTACTGAATTCAATACAGTTAAAACATGAGAACATATCTCAMCTCTCAAGTCTTTTAAGCTTGTCCTATGGAAAACAAGTTCATGTTATTAGTAATAAAAACGAACCAATATTTCTTTCATTATAGATTCTAGTCTCAGTAATTCAAGCGAGACAACYAGTAACTTCCATACTTACTGTTAGATTGGCAAACACTGTATACCAAATTTTCTCTTCAAAATGCTTTGTCACTGTAAATTATAACAATGACGTCAAGTATTGCGAGAGCTAGAGAACACCTGACAATGTGTTTGAGTCGTGACTGCGTATAACTTCCAGTCCGTTTTTCTTTCTGTTACAAGTGGAATGGATTTCATAAACTCGTGAAATACACTTAGTGTTCTACACTGTTGTTTAGCAAGTTGTTCGTCTTTTTCGTGTTACAAACTTTATTACATTTGGACTATTACACTTTGATTCACGAATTAACGAAATACACTCTATCAACGTATATATATAACTGTACCTTTGAAGCTCAGCCACTTTGGCCTGTTCATGTAACATCAGCAATCATTAGCATTTGATTGAAGTTATTTGTGCTTATTTGACAAGAATGATATCATCAGTACTTACATTTAGTTTATCAAGCTCTTCTTTGAAAGGTTGTTCTTGAGACGCCGTAATGATTTTGTTCTCTGCTTCACGATCACTACATGGATAATGCAACATATTTGATGATATTATTGCAGATGCATAAGATTATACACATATGGCAAGACGCCTCTTACAGGGGGATTAGCAATAGCGCTAAAAATGGAGTTAGTTTGGAATTGAGTAGCGCAGTTTATTTTCATT